TTTTTTTTTTTTTTTTTTTTTTAGAATCTGGAATATGTTACCTCATTCTCTTCTGACCTGTAGTTTCCTGTGAGAGGTCTGCTGTGAATTTAACCAGCATTTTTTTTTATGTGTCAGTTTTTTTCACATTTAAATGTAAAGATGTTTTTCCTTATGTTCAATTGAAGAGAGCTAGATTATCTTGTGTCGTGGTGAAGATCACTTTTGGTGAAGCCTGTTGGGAGATCTGTGCCCCTCCTGGATGTTGTTTCATAAATCTATGTACAAATTAGGCAAATTTTGCCTTACTATTTTATTTAATACATTTTTTAAGATTTATTTCTGTATTGGAAAGTCAGATATACAGAGAGGAAGACAGACAGAGAGGAATATTTCCCATCTGATGATTCACTCCCCAAGTGAGCACAACGGCTGATGCTATGCTGATCTGAAGCCAGGATCCAGGAACTTCTTCCGGGTCTCCCACATGGGAGCAGTGTCCCAAGGCTTTGGGCCATCCTCGACTGCTTTCCCAGCCACAAACAGAAAGCTGGAGGGGAAGTAGAGCTGCTGGGATTAGAACCAGCACCCATATGGGATCCCCAGCGTGTTCAAGGTGAGGAATTTAGCAGCTAGGCCATGACACCAGGCCCTATTTTATACATTTTTAAACCCAGCTTCTCCTTCTGCACCTTCTAGGACACCCATAACTCCCACCTCCAGCTGTGGCCTCGTGTCCATTTTGGCCTTTTAACAGTGTCTTTCAATTCTTGAGTATGTGTTTTAGCTTCACCCAGCTCTGCTTCCAGCTTTTTGTTTGTTTTTTCCCCAGGTGATAGGAAATAGCTTCCAATTCAGAGATCTTTCATCTGCTTCCTTCATTCTGTTTTGGAGACTCTTCCTTTTCACTCTCTGTCAATACCAGTGTATTGTTTTTATTTCCTCTCTGCTTTCTTTCTTTACCTTTGGGTGACCAAGTACCTCCTCTCCCCTCCCCCCAAGAATGTACTGATAAGTCAGATTTATCCAGGTCACAGCAGATGCGTGGTCACTCACTACCACGACACTATTCTCCCAATCCAAACCATAAGCAGAGAGTTTGATCAGAAGTGGAGCATCCAGGACATGGACCTTCTCTCCCCCAGTCACGAAGCATAAAAACATACTGTTCATGGCCAGGGCTGACCTGGGGCACAAGGTGGGAGGACTTTTGGTCTGACTCCATAGAGCTGGCACTTGAGGCTGAGCCATGCCATCTGGTGTTACATGCACTGAAACAGAATGTTAACATTTCACCAGTGACAGTCACAGCAGCGTTTGATTATAAATGAGAGGCAAGGCAAGGCAAGGCGACCGACCTGCCGGCCAGGACCAGCACCCCTTGCCAAAGTGCAGCAATCCAGAAACAGCCTGCAAGGGGAGGGAGGAAATGACACACATTTCCCTGCCTGTCTCGGATTCATCACCTGGCTGCATCTAGTGGGCTGTCCCTTTGTTCCTTGGTGCTGGCTGTTGGGCTGCCCTGGTGGCAGCCTTGCTGTAGCTGTAGAATGCTCCTGAGCCTGCAAAGGGAAGCAAGTGGGTGGAGAGCTTGGTGCAGGGTGTGACAAAGTCCCAAGCTGCAGGCAGGAGAGTCCCTGCCCTGCTGCTGGTTGGAGATTGGGCCTGGAGGCTTGCACGTGAGCAGGCAGGCAGCAGCAGGGGTGGGTAGGTACTAGTCAGCTTGTTCCTGAATGTAACCAGGCTTGAGTACCTCCAGAGTGCATGGGGTTGACCAGCACACTCCTTATCACTGCCACCATATTAGAGGACCAGATGGGGCTGTTGACCATAGTGTAAGGCTTGGCAATTCCTGTCGCTGCTTAATGAACCTGTGGAAATCATTCCTTCTTGCTGCCCCCCCATTGGGGAACCATCAAATGTGTTTGTTTTTCACACTCCTGGGGCCACCAGGTGGCCACAGGAGCATGCCCTGTCACAGATGGGTGTGTTTCTGGGGATTTGTGACTGGAGCCCTTATCTGAGGGCGGCTGTGTTCCCATTGTCCCCTGGAAGGACATTTCTTCACCTGCAGTTGCCATTCTGAACCTGCAGGAAGATGCTGACATATAGTCTCCTGGAGACTATTACTAGAAGAGCTGGACCCCTGGATGTGCATCTGGGGAACAGGGGGAAGCATAATGGGCTGCTGGCGGCCTGGTGCTGCACTGTCTCCCTTGCCCATTCGGTGACCTGCCTGCCTGCCTGGGTTCGTGCAGCAGCTTTGCTGAATGTCCCAGTTTAGCCCTGAGATTGTGCTGCCATCTCTGGATTATGGTTTGTCCCAAGAGTAGCAGGGGTGAGGCCTGGCACTGGATCCTATACTCACATTTGCCCTCTGCTGCAGGCTGTCCATTCCGTAGCGGTGGCCGACAGTACGCCCTCAGAACTGTGAGACTGAGCTGCATGTTCTGTCTTGTGGGTTCCTTTTTCCCCTGCCTCGGTGTGGTGGGAAAGGCCAGGGGTGTGGAATCCATCATGATCTCTGCTTTCTCTGCCTTGTGCTGCATTGGAGGTGCGTGGGCCAGCCCCACCCGTGGTGGTGTGGGGCACTTGTCTGCCAGAGTCTGGGTCTGTTGGACTCTGTGTGGTTCTCCTGCAGCAATCCTCTTTGTCTTTTGGGTGCCTGAAACCCAATGGTGGTGTTGCTCTTTTGCTCCCCCAGTGTCCTTTCCCTGGTGTGCCACCGCAGCCTGCTGGTGTGTGCTGCCTGCTCAGTGGAGTCTCTGTAAAGTCGAGGTGGTAAGGAGGAGGAGGTATGGGTGTAGCACCTCGCCTTTTGGGGAAGGGAGGCTGCTGATGCCTGTGCTTTGCCTGGCTTTGTGTCCCTGTGTGTCCGTGGGGGCAGGGTGGCTTCCTTACCTCTGCTGCAGACCACTCCACCCATCTTCAGACTTGACCCCTAGGCTGGGTGTTCCCCTGTCGGCTGCTGAGAAGTGCATGGTGAGGTCGGTGGGGGAGGTCTAGTGATCCGAGGGATGTGCCATATCGCCCACCTTCTGCTGTTTCTCCTTCCTCCTGTGTGTGTCGGTTGCCACACTGCTGACAACGTGGATGGCTTGGGTTGTGCATTAGGTGGTAATGTTTGCTTGTGCCCTCTGCCCGCCCCTCTGGTGGGCTGCATGGGGTTATGTCTGGACTCTTCTGGCCCCTTGCTGCTGGGGGCTGGATGCTGTCTCTTGTGCCTCTTCCTTGCCACAGCCTGTGCCTCCCCCTCTGTGTTGGGGAGGGTCCCACTGGACTGAGTGTCCTGGTGTCTACAGATCTGATGGAGAGGGGCCCTGTGGTCACTTGCATGAGCCCATGTGAATGTGTCTCTGGTGTGATGCCTTCTGTGTGCTGCCTGGGGATCTGGAGTGTGTAGGGCTTGTTCCATGCTGCTCCTGTGGCCCTGGTGCAGGGTGGTTCTCTGCCTGCTTCATGCCCTGGGCTGCTATGGCCATTGGCCAGGCATCACTGGTGATGAAGGGTGGTGGTAGCACCTCAGGTTTGGGCCTGTTGGGTCTCCACTTGGCTGTATTGGTCTTGGGAGTGTTCTCACGAGGTTGTGGCCTCTGGAGTGGGGAAATGGATGTTGGTGAATGGAGGTCAGGAGATTACTAGTTTGTGGGCCTTGGTGGTGTCCCAGTGGAGGAGCCTCAGGTGCATGTCAGGGAGTGTGTGGTGTGCTGGAGGTGAGTTCCGGTATCCCAGGTGTTATGGGACCACCCTCGTGTGTGTGATGGTGGCATCCCATATCCTTTTTCTGGGTGGACCCTGCTTTCATTGGCTCGAGATGCATTCTCTTGTGGTTCTGCTTCATGCTCTGGTGCCTCTCCCATGTGGCCCAATGCTGTCATCCCCACAGGTACCCCCTCACCTCAAGCTGTGGCCTCGTGTTGGGAGCATTTGTCAGGGTTTGGGTTCGGTTGGCTGTGACAGATGGCCTGTGCTGTGTGGAGCTGGAGTTTTCCCCTTCGTTGGAGAGGTGTGTGCATGAGAGGGGTGGATGAATTGCAATGTCCCAGCTGTGTGGTTGTGTCTGGTGTCTCCCCCTCCCCCATACAGGACTGCCCTTATGCTCTGAGGGTGCTGGCAGTGAGATCCTGCCTGGTGTGGGGACTGGTGTGACACCTGACCGCCATTCAGGTTGGCAGTCTGTGTTGAGGAGGCCCTCTTTTCCCATGCCTCTCCACCTCCTGGTCCCAGGTCTCTGCCATCTCATTGTTCTACCTGGGTCTTGTTGCATCTGTTGGGAGGACACTCTGGCCCCTTCTGAGTCACACGCCTTGCCCTGTCAGGCAGCGGTGGTGGTGCCGTGGGTTGATTTTTTTTAAGTGGTGTGCGTGAGGGTTGAGGTTGGCGAGGCCGTGGGGCTGGCAAGGGCGGTTGGTATCTGCTGCTCTCCCTCTTTCCCTCCTCCTTCCGTGTAGCAGTGACAGTGGTCTTTCCAGACACCGTGTGGTGCCCAAGGTTGGGCTTTTCCTTAACCTCTGGCCTGTTTCTATCATGAGGTTGTATAGACAGCTTGGCATCGCTCTGTGCCCGTTGTGTGTGGGGGTGTTGTAGGCCTGGGGATCATGTCGCCCCCTTTTGTCGCCCCCTTTTCCTCCACACGATGTGCTTTCCTGTTGTGGGCCGGCCCAGATGGGGAGGATTGTCCTGTGGGTTTGGTGCCGGGAGAAAGGAGCTGTCTCTCTAGGTGAGCTGTCTTTCGGTTCCAGTGGGCCTGGGGATCATGCTGGGGACATCAGGGTGGTACACTGTGCTGCGTCAGTGATGGCGGTTGCTCTGTCCCCACCTCGGAGTGGCGTGGATCCTCCGCTTCATGGTGTTTCTTCAGTGGTGCTGTGTTTCTGGGGGAGATTTCCCCACCATGCCTTGTGGTTAGGGTTAGGGGGACCAGCTCAGCGGCTGGCCGGCCAGTCTTTGTGCGTTCCTTGCTCCCCTTTTCCCTTCCCCGATCTCAGCCACGTGTGCTTTTCTCTCTCCTCCCTGCCCATCCAGTGTCTCATTTTTACCTTACCGAGGATAGGAAGGCGGGGGGGCTGTGTGTGTCTTGCATCAAGGGGAGTGGGCAGCAATGGGCCATGCTTGTGGTGCCGTGCTGTACAGGGCTGTGACTGGTGGGCCTGGCTTGCTGATGTGTTGGGGGTGGTGGTCTCTGGGCTGTGTGCTGTGCCTCTCTTGACTCTGGTGTGTCTGTCTTGAACCCCTAGGCCCTATGGTGGTCCAGGGGCATGGTGCCTGAGCCGTAGAGGTTCTGGCAGTCTCAGCCCCCCTGTGTGGCCAGCCCCATCTCAATACCTGCCCTGCCTTGCCTTGCCACTCCACCCTTGCTGTGCAGGGCTGTGGCAGCCACACTCCTCCCTATTCTGTCCTTGGCCACGCATCCTGTCCTCTCTGGCTTTCTCGCTCCAGGTACCTAGTGCGTCCCAGTGTGAGGAGGTCTAAAGACCCCCTGAGTTTTATGCTCATTCACATTGGGGTTGGAGTTGTTGGCCCATAGGGGGTCAAGACTGGAGGGTCAGACTGGCCCAGGCCATCCTGCCCCTTCTGGCTCTGCTCCCTTGACCTATGCTATCCTTCCTCCCTCCACCTTGCCTGCCTCCCTCTACCCCATTCATCCATCCATTCATCCTCCCCTCTCCTGGTGTTGGTCTCGTAGTGGTGACTCGGACCAACCCATGGGGGAAAAAGCTGAGGCATCACGCCCCTGTACAGTGCTTAGAAGGGTGGTTGTGGTTGGGTGGGGTTGTGGGGATGGAAGCCTCCCAGTGCCTGTGGGGTCCATCTGAGTGTCCAACCCCATGGACCATGCCATTGTCTTGTGTCTTTCCAAGTCTGTTGGCCAGCCTGGGGCACCCCTTCTGGTCTCTGTGTTGAGACAGGTGCCATGCCTTGCAACAACATGCAGAAACTCAGCAGAGAATCACTTGACTTTGAATGCACTTGCAGCCCTGGGTTCCTCATGGGGCTATGCCTGGCTGCCTGTCTGGGCATGGCTTGAGGATCAGTTGCCCTCAGAGTGGGGGTTGGTCTCTGTCCTTCCTGCCCCCGGGTCACACTGCTGGGATGTGTGCTCGCAGGACCCCTCTTGAGGGGCTTTCCCCTTAAGTGCAGACCAGAGGTGGGCTCCACTCTCCTGTCTTTCCTGGCTCCACAGTGCTACAGTTTGTCCAGGAGAGGCGTTGTTGGGTATACCTAGGAGAAAAGAGGCATCAGTGCCAGGAGAGGTGGGCTCACCAGGCATGCTGAGGAGGAAGGAGGGGGTACTCTTGGGGTTGGTTGGGAAGCAAGCCTTGAGGCTGGTAGCAGCGCATGCCCTCCGGCCACAGTCTGGTGCCTGCCTCACTGTTCCTGCCATGTATTCCTAGTCTCTGCCCCCTCCTTGCTTCCTTCCCCCTCTGCCCTTGGGGAGGTCGTTTGTGCCACACACTTGGTGGGTTATTGGGAGTGGAATCTCTTGCCCTGTTTTCCCGGTGTGGCTTGCCACTCCCTCCTCTGCCTGAGACCCAGGATGAAAGGCTTTCCGCACTGTGCACTGATCCCGACACCCAGCAGGTGCACATCCAGAGGAGGGGGGGACGGCTATCTGAGGCCAACGGAGGCTCCTTAGGTGCTGCAGTATTGTCAGGCTGCCATGCCTTGGGACCGGTCCAGTTTGGAGAGCCCTTCCTTCTGGGAAACAGGGCGTGGCTGGAAAGGGAGCCCTCTAGCCCATCACAGAAGGCAAGTTTGTGGGGAACCTGCTGCTAAACCATCCATGGGTGATCTGCTTCTGGGCCAGGATTTTGTAAATGGCAGAGTAACTCCCTCCATGAGATCCATTGAATCAGCTCTGGACACAAGGGTTTGTCTAGGTGCCTGTTGGGCCTGCGTCCCATGGTCTGGCTTGTGATGCTGCTGGCTGTGCATGGCGGTTGAGCCTTGGTTGGTTCGTTTTTTGCACCTCGCTAGCCGTGCACCTCCAGGCAAAACTCCAGGGCCACAAGCCCTTGTGTTTGCCCCTTGCATACCTGTGTGGGGGCAGAGGGGTGTTGACGGTGGTGTGCCTGTGTGTGGCCTCCGGTGGCAGGGGTGGGGGTGAGGGGTGAGGAGGCATTTTCCCCTGGTGGGAGTTTGGGCTTCTCACACACCCACAGTCCTCTCCACCGGGTTGGAGGGTCACCAGCTGGCCCTTCTCCCTCTGGGATGACGGAGGAGAGCTCTCAGAGGAGGCAGGGGTGCTGGCACTGCATGCGTCCCTTTACCCAGGTGGGCACACTTGTGGGTTGAAGGTCCCAACGATTCTTTCCCTCTCTCTCTTCCCAGTAAGGTGGTCAACTAGCTGCTCAGTGGCACTTAGCTGGTCCATTCTTGTGGTCATCTGCAGTGGTGGACCAGCTGCCCCATGGCATTTGTACACGCTGTTGCCACTTGGTGTCATTGTTGACATGTTTGCTTTCTGTGTCCTCTCAGTCTTCCTAAAAATTCACTTCCCCCCCCTCCGCCTCCTGCTTTCCATCTCTCCACCTTTTTTTTCCTATTATTTAGATGTTCAGTTTTAACTGACTTTCTTGCTTTTTTTCTGTGTTCTTGGGGAGTCTTGCTAAAACTTCCTCCCCCTATCTCTTCTTCTGCCTCCTTTCTTTGTCTCCTCCACTTTTTTTTTTTTTTTGAATTTTTGAGTTATGTGTTCCAATTTAGTATAGACTGGGATTTCCCTCCAAACTCTCAATCCCAACAGATTTTCCCCCATTTAATACACTGGTATAATAATTTCAACAGTCTCTTCTTTAAGTGTAATTCAACATTGCTGGTACTCTTCTTTAAGTGTAATTCAACATTGATGGTACAACGTCACACAGTCCAGCATCCCATTGTCTACATTTGACCAACAGTTTCATTGGGAAGCTTTTTTTTCCTTTTAATTTTTACTTTCTTTTTCTTTCTTCCTCCTTCTTTTTGCTTTCTTTCTGTGTTTTTGGGGAATCTTTGTAAAAACTGTTTAAATTTAATGTTTTGACTGCCTCATTGACTCACGCATTTATTTTCCCCATTTCTTTAGAGAGAAAGGAACACTTGGTCCACCAAAGGAAGCTGGGCTCAGCGTTGAGTGATGACCTGCCTCTGCTGGCCACACCTGGGGCAGTACAATACTGCCTGCAGCTCCTTCCTGCCCGGTCTGCACGCTAATCAGCCCAACACTACACCACCAAGATGCTCAGGTGTGCTGCATCCCTGGCTAGAAAAGGAACCCAGACAAAACGGGTGGCTGGGGCTGGGGCCAGGGATGGGGAAGAATGATTTAGTAACTGTGTTTGAAGGGACACACACACACACACACACACACACACACGTCTATGACTATGATTATTGCATGAGTTATGGTTAGCTTTGGGAGTTTGATTTGTGTTTGAGCTAGGGATGCTCTTAGTAGTAGAATAGGGTCATTATTAGGTCTAGGGGTTTGTTAGGTAAAGTAGAGAGCTTGGTTTAGAGTTACAGACAGGGTTGGCCTTAGGGGTAGGGTTTGTTTTAGGGTTAGGACTAGGTTCAGGATTAATGGAAACTTTAGTGTTGTGTTTAGGTCTGGGGTTAGAGTTGGGGTGATGGCTGTGGTTGGTATTATGTTTAGCTTTAATGCTCATATTTCAGTTACATTTTTTAAAAAAATGGGATTAGGATTTGGCTAGGATTAGGGTGAGTGCTAATAGTGTAGATGGACAAGGAATAGGTCTATTATTTGTGATAGGGTTAAGACAAAGTGTAAATCTGATAGGTATTAACATTAGGGTTAAGATTAGAATTAGGGCTAGTTTTACAGCAAGTTAGAATTAGCATAAAATTAAGGCTAGAAATTTTACTGACATTAGAGTTAGGATTGCAGTTAGGGTTAGGGTAAATTGCAGTGTTATGTATGTGTTAGTATTAAACTTTTGGCCAGTGCTACAGTTGGCACTAGAATTAACATTAGTGTTAGCATTAGGGCTGGGGTTAAGGCAAGTGCTAAGGCTGAGATTAAAGTTAGAATTAGAGTTAAAACTAGAGTGATCATTGATATTAGATTTATGGTTAAGGTTAGTGTTAGGGCTGTGATTTGGTATTACTCTTAGGGTTGGGTTAGGGTTGGCTCAGGTTTGTGTTAGGATGAAGCCTAGAATTAGAGTTAGGACTATGGCTATGATTGGTGTTATGATTAATCATGTTATGATTAATGTTAGGGATAGCTCAATGGTTATAGTTAGAGACAGATTAGCATTAGGACTAAGGCAAAGGTTAGTGCAAGGATTTAGAGCTAGGATTAGAGTTAGGGCTAGGACCACAGTTGGTATTAGTCAGTGTGACAGTTAGGGTAAGAGCTAAGGTAAATGATAGGGCAAGTGTCAGGGTTAGGACAGGATGAAGGCTATGTTCTAAGGTTCATTTAGGATTAGGCTTAGAGCTATGGTAAGAGTTAGGACTATGTTTAGGTTTAGGGTAGGGTTAGGGTTTGAGTTATGGCATGATTATTATGAGGATTAGGGTTTCAATTAAAGTTTGGGATAGTGATGGTATGAGAACTAAAATAGGCCTAGAGTGTATTATAGGATTAAGGTTAGGATAAGGGGTAGGACTAGATTTAGAATCAGGGCTGGATTTAGAATTAGAAATCAGGTTAGTGTTACTGTATGGATTTGGTTAGTGTTCACATGAGGGCCAGATGAGAGTTAGGATTATGTTTGTAACTATAGAAAGTATAAACTCAAGAGCCAACTCTAATTCTAAATCTGACCTCAGCCTTAAACTTCATCTTAGCCTATTCCTAGCCCTGACTATAACACTAACTCAATCTTTTGACTTTTTATAGCCAAACTGGAAGCATAATCCTAACTCTAAACTAGGCTCTAATCCTAAACTCAACCTGAACTAGCCTTAATTCTAATACTAACCATAGCCCTTACTCTAATCCTACTCAGAATAAACCTAATCTTAATCATAAAAACTAACCCTGAGATAACTCTAATCTTAATCCAAATCTAGCCCCAGTCCTAATACTAACCTAGCTTTTAAACTATGACACAACTCAAAACCTAGTCAGTAACCTAACCCTAAACCTAAACCTAGCTCTAACTCAAACCCTAATTTGAAGCCTAGCCATAGTAATAAACCTACCCCAGCTGTATTTCTAAACCTAACCCTAATGATAACTCTACTCATCACCCTAATTGTAGCACTAAACCTAAATCCAATGTTAGCAAAAACCTTAATCATAAGCATGACACTGGATTTTGACCTAACTTTAATCCTAGAAAAATTAGCCCCCACCCTAACATTACTCAGTCTCTAAGCATAATAGTTCTAGCACTGACTATAACTTAACCATAATACTAAAATCAGCACAAAACATCTTAATCCTAAATGTAGCCACAGCTTTAATCCTAACATTAATTGTAACCCTAACTCTATTTTAATGTCACGCAGTGGAAATACCCTCAATCTAGCAGTAACAGAAAACTGAATCTGAACCAGAACTATAACATAAACTCTACATCTGGCGTTAATCCAAACATTAATCTATCCCTAACATTAATCCTAATTCCAATGCTACTTCATAAAACAACACTAACCTTGGACTGTTCCTAATCCTATTTGTAAGTGTAATCCTAACCCTAATCATAGGGCTACCCATAACTCAACTCTCAATCCTAACAGTAAACTTACTACTAACCCTAATCTTAACATTAGCCCTAGCATGGCTACATCTAATGATTTCCTAATTCTAAAGCCATTGCTAATCTAAATCATAAGCCTGAATTTGACCCTGACACTAAAGTTAGCCCCAACCAAAATCTAGATTTTGGCCTAACCACAACAATATTCCTAGATATGATGATAACACTGACCCTAACTCTGCACCCAAACACATCAATAAAACTAACCATCAAACTGAAGTGTCCTCTATTACAATATGGTGACTCAATTTCATCAAACTACATTCTGTTAGGGAAAAGTGAGAGAAATGATAGGATATGTGAGATGCTCTGCATATGGAAATCAGCTTGACTTGGCTTTTCTCCATGACATGTGTTTTTCAAAACATCACCTCTAATGGAGAACTAGGATCAACTTGGCTCCTTAGAGATAAACAAATATTGTCATTGATGGAAAAGCAAAATGCTTTCATAGTAACTGTTGAAAAAGCCCTAGGCTTCACTACATTTTCAGCAGATTTGCACACACCCACTCAATAGACACCCAACCCCATACACTCACCATCTGCTGGCTTCCACGGAGCCTGAACATCCACCCTGGTAAGGCCTGTGGGGAGAAAGACCACAGAAAGCAGAGCTTGAGCCACTCACCTGCTTTCTCCAGTAGGCTGAGGAGCCTGTGTGTCACCATGGTTTTCCTAGAATGCTGAGGCTGCCAGATTCTGGGCTGTTATGACCAGGCAGCTGCTGATTGGACAGGTTGCATGGCCACACAGCCCTGTGAGGTCAAAGAGATGCAGCCAATCAGAATATTCCCTGTCACCAGGAAGTCACATGGGGTTATGTGAGTGAAGCAAGAGTGAGGGCTGAGGCCAGAGCTCAGGTTAGGAGCTTGGACCTTTGACTTGTTTTCTGGCCCATCAAAGTTGGTGTTCTGTCACCTTCTTCTTGGTCCAAATCACCCATCCACATGCCTGTGATCATCCTGTGATCTGGAGCTTGACACAACCTATGGCAGCTGGCTTACAATCCTATGAGTGTCAAACTTCCACAATGGTCCGCCACACCCTTCTTTGGCAACTTCTCTTCTTACTCTCCCCCCATTTGGAACATTATGCCACAAGTGTTACTTACAAGCTTGTTGTAAAGAATGCTTACATAGATACATCTTCTTTTGTTGCATGTCACTTTTAGTAAGTCTCCCTTCCTAGTGTCCCCAAATTTTGTTTTTGATGGAATAGCATTTTGTGTTTGTGTTTGGTGCCGCTGTGTCACTCTGCAAAGTGTAATTCTTCCTCCTTTGCATCCAGCACTCATGTGAATTGATTGATTTGGGGTTTGGATTATGTAAGGTGTTCTTTGCCTTATTCATTTTTTTTTTTTGATATTTTTGCTTTCAGGAGTTGCTTAGACCCTGACCTTTCTGTTGGTTGTCTCCATGACCACATTTCCATTGTAATCCTGGAGCCTGGTCAGGAGAAGATCGCACCTTCCTTCTTTCCTTCTTCCCTCCTCCCTCCCTCCTCCTCCCTCCTCCCTCCCTTCCTTCCTTCCTTCATTCCTTCCTTCCTCCCTTCCTTCCTTGTTTCTATGATATTCTTAGGCTGCTGTTTTCCATTTGTTTGATCTGGTTTTCTTGCCATTTTGTGGAAGATGTGTTTGGATTTTTTAGTGTACTTTCTGCCTTATTGATTGATTAATCTATGGTTTAATTCTTATTTTTACTGTTGCTTCAAAGTGTATTTGCAGCCCTTGTGTTTTCTGTTTATTGATGGTTTTCATGTCCACATTTGCAGTGTTAACTTGCCATGCTGTCCTGAGAAATACAACCCAGTATGTCTGTCAGGGAAACATTCATAATAATCCTGTTTCTTGTGTTGTATGTTATAGGATTAATTTTTGGAATAAAACTGGAGTCAAATCTCCTTTCCTTAGAAAGTAACCCTGAAAAATAAAAGTAACTCGGAGCTGTGAGATAGATGGGTTTTATAGAAAGAGTAGTTTATACTGTCATGGAAATCAGGTGGTTGGGCAGCAACAGGAGGTTCCCATGAGACGATATGTAGACAATGGGTAGGATATAGCAATCACAGGAGACTGCCATGGAGGCAATGGGTGAGCTCAGGATGAAGTTTAATTTTAATAATGATTACATGCTTGATCAGGGTGGGAAGGACCAAGATTTAGGGAAAATTATGTGAATTCATTGCTTCCAAGTTTCCTATTTCTTCTTGTTGTTCCCTGGGGAAGGGTAGAGAAAAGCAGGATGCTGTACAAGACTTCCCACTTGTCCCAGTACCTAGAGATGAGGGACCGCCACCTCATATCACTGCTGAGTCTCAACGTGTACATATTCTGGATAGTCCTGAAATGCTGCCCACTTCACCAATCCAAGCATGTCACCCTTCCAGTATTCACAGGCTCCAATCCCTGAGATGTTTTGCTGTCATCATTTATTTGGGATGGTTGTCCAGTTTGTTCTGTTCTTTCTTCTGCTATAGCACCAAATGTGATGCT